ATCATCGAATCTTTCCGAATCAATTCGGAGGGTTCTGATTCGATTTGGAGAGATTAAAGAGTTGTCTGATTCGATTTGGAGATTCAGCCACTGAATTGCGCCAAATGTCCGCCGAATTGAATCGGTGACCGAAGCTTCGCACAACTCTAGTAAATATAGGGCGTTCATACGCATACTCTGGGGCAGGGGCAGTCTCAGAGCCACTCTAATTAAAGTACCCAGAGCATCACATGTATCAGCTGTCCCCTGCACTGAAAAATGGCATCGGGGCACTTTGACTAAACTGAAATGAGCTTTAAAGTGCCCTTGCTGCTATTGTCAGCACTGGGACTCTGATACACATGACACTGGAATCTGCTGAAGCATGGTAATTACCATTTAGATAAACTACTTTTTCTTTGTTTATGTTGAATCCCAGAAAAGATACTGAATGCTTCTGTGAATATATACACAAAGTTTTGCAAGGTGACTTGGAAGGCTTAGACTATTAGTTCAGGTATTTCTGACAGTGAAACCAAAAAATCATTGCTGTCTGGGAGCTGCTGCCTGCCATGATTGTAGATTATTTCAATTTAATTCCTGTGAGACACCTGTTCATATCATAGACATTGCATCTAAACATGGTTGTTTAGCTGGTAGTCTTAACAGACTTTACAGGTGAAATAAAAATCTAACTAAATTTGGGATCAGTTTGTCTTGCCTGAGAACAAATGAGTTTATATCTATCCCTTTCTTAAGTTATAAATAATATAATGGTTATAGATTATTCTATGCCTTCTGCTTTCTGTTCAGGGTTAAGGAATACTGGTAGGGCAGTAACTAGGTAAGTCTTTAATTGCTGGGTTTTTTTTTTTAGCAGGTACTTCTTATAAAGACTTGGGTGACTTTAAAATGATAAAAGTCAGAAATCTTTTGTGTGGTATGGTAGTAGTGGTTTGTATTTTTTAGTGGTGGTGGTTTTGTTTTGGTGTTGGTCAGTGGAGTCAATTAGATTTATCCTGCTCCCTTTTGGCCCATGTATATGTATATAGTATGTTTATAAATAAATGCTATTGTTCCTTAAACTTTCCAACAGGGCTAACCTGTCAGTAACATTTTCTTTCTGGTAGCCATTTTTAGTGGTTCCTGTCCTTAGCAAATTTAATTTAGAAGTACTCAAGCTTTTTCCATGTTTGTTATGGGAGGAAAATGTAATGTATGGTCTTCAGACAGTTGGTTCCAGTTGGGTCTCTTTAGTTAAACTAACCTTGCATTGAGAGAAAAGTCTCTATTTTAATAGGTAAGGTCTCATTTGTTTAGCCTGTGTATAAATAGGAAGATGCTTCATGCATGAGAATGAATTATAGGGGAGGTATTTACTTTATAAAGAAGGAGCTCTAAGGGAAAATGAGACTAAAATTAAAGAGTTGCAATAACATAAGTTATTTTTCTCTGAAGAAATCAACCACTCGATGCTTGCTCTAGGATAGTTTTAGGCTGAAAATCAGGCATCGTATGACAATTACTGTAATTCAGTCTAGGATTTGCTTTGTGTAATGCGTTGCGTAGCTTTATACTTCAAAAGGTTGCAAATATTTGGATTGAGCTCTCGAACCATGGAAATATAAGTAACTGATTTAGTTTTTAAGGAAGCTCAATTAGCTGGATCTTTTTGTGGGAAGGTTGTTACAATACATTTTTACAATTTTAATTTCAATATTTTGGAAAAAGTATTTATGTAAATATAATGCCTTTCAGTATGGGGTAAGGTATAAATTGTTACAATCATTTTCATTATGTAACTTCACATTCACTGAAGCTTAGTCCAAATGCTGATACAAATGTTCTTGGAGGTATAAAAAGATCCTGGTGGTTTCAGTGGAACTAAGATCTTTTGCAAAAGTCAAGGGAAATAAAAACGTGTGTGATTATAGTTCTGCCCCACCCCCCACCCCTGCTCTCTGTTAGTGTATTGTTTGGAGCAAAACAGTATTAGGTTTATGGATATTTATTTTATTTTCTTTTTTATTTTTTGTAGCCATTTAGCCATATTTTGTGTATGTCTGTGTCATTGGTTAGAGATGAATATTGGTAAATGTGAAGTTGACCACAACTTATGTGACCACAAGTTATGTTCTGAACTGTCACCTTGTTAGTTAAGAGAGCCAATCCCTATTTATGTTTTAGTCTGCTTATTTTAGTTTGCTTAAAAAAAAAAAAAAAAGTTCAGTTCAGCAGAGTCGTAACAGGTTAGAGTGAGAGTTAGATTCTACTTGCTTATTAATGTAATTGAGACACATACATGCAATCTCATGGAGGACAGTGTGACTGGATCGGTGTCACCGATAGTGTGACCATATGGGACAATGTGAAATCCAGGACAACCAGAGGTGGGGGCAGGGCTGCTCGGTGCAGCTGTGTTATTACTGTTTAGGCAGCTAAGGGAGTCAATGGCTCGTTAATGATCAGTTCTTACTTTATAAGGGGTAACAGTCTTTCTTTACTGGTCATTCCACTGATTAAGCTAACCTATTTTAGGGAAGTTCTGCTGTCTGCTAGGATTTCCTATTTCACAGTTTGTGCTGCTCTGCCTCCCCACCCTGGGTGGGTCCTGGGTGCTTATTCTAATTTTCACTGGCCAGCTGGGACCAGCCTCCAAAGCTTGGCCGAACTGGGACATATGGTCGTTGTACTGATAGACTAAGATGACCTGCAGCCCTTCTCAGAGTTAAAAATTTTCTTGGGACATACCACATTTGTTAGAGGAACTTTATTCTAACCCTGACTGTTCTCTTGTTTGTATTCACATAGTGGAAGAAACCACTGTGTTTTTTTTTTTTTGTTTTTTTTTTGTTTTTTTTTTTTTTTTAACTTTTCTTGGCGCAAAGGAGGTCTTTGGCTTGGAATGGAAAGGGTTTTGCATTGTGAGCTTAAGGTATATGCTGTATATCCTGTATCTCTGAAAACATCATGGTTGTAAGCAATAGCCTGGGCACTAGGAAGCATGTATTTTAAACATTGCTTTTGGAATCAGTGGTGTGCAGGTCTTGATTTTTGTTATGGAAGTCATTGTAAGGAGATATATTATGATGGAATCTCACGGAAATGCTGGTTGACCTTCTTGAGGTTTAAGCTTCTCTTTTTAAATTGAGAATCTTGCTGAGCATATCCAAGAAGTGCTGACTTGAATGTTTTAAAAAAAATTCTTTAGCTATTCGATTAATCAGTAAACTTAAAAGTTTCACCTCTGGGAGACAAGTTCGGATTTGCTTCAGCTGCTAGGGGAAAGTACAGTATCTGGCTTTAAAAACAAGTGAAGAGTGATCATTATCTGTTTTTAGTTCAGGAGAAGAACAGATTCTCAAAGGAAATGAGGTAGGAATGAAATGGGTCAGAATTGGGGTCCCTAGATGGTAGAAACTGTAACCAGGTCTTGCCATGATTTATAGTAATATTGTTAAAGCACCTAGAACTATAATTTGGAGTTCTCTTACCTTTCTAAAAAAATCAAAAGATGTCTCAAAACACTATTTTGTATGTCATTTGTTAGGACAATAAATCATGGCTACTAAGTCTTGAGCTTTGTGAGTTTTTTGGCTTCCTGTTAACATTGAATACGTATGTCTAAAAACATTCTTAACTTAAAAAAAAATGAATTGGATGAATCTATACAGTGCTAGATTGTAATTTGTAACACTTATGCACCTTTTAAAGATGCATTTTTTAAATTTACTTGCACACTTCAATTCAACTAGTCAGAATTCAAGCCATTCACAAATGCATTTACAAATATGTGACATACGACTTAAATGATAACAACACAGAAAAATCCCTTCTTCCACAGAAGCTTTAAGGTAGTAGGGAAAAATCATTGTAGTGTAAATAAGATTTTTCCATGGCATCAGTTCTGTACTTCAGGCATTCCTTTTGTTAATAAATTACTGCAATACAAAGCATGGTAACAGCATGTTGGCAAGACAGGGAGCATATTTGAAAAATAAGGTATGTTCCTCTTAATTGGGTTCACTGTAGAAGTATGAGAAATGTTCAGCCTCCTTAAAATGTCAGTCATGGCTTTCTGCAGTTACAGTATAACAAAACATCAAAAGCTTTTACTGAGAGACAATACGGGTTGATTTTTCACAAAATTAAAGATAAAAAAAATCATGATACAAGATTCAGACTGAAACAAGGAATGAACCAGAATGTGAGAGGTACTACATTTGGATGGCTATTTGAAGAAAATTGAATGTGGATGATTTCCTGCCCCTCCCCTAATACTGTTCTTTTCCTTAGATTTGCAGCTTCTAAGAAGTGCATAAATTTCAGGATGGCTCTACAACATTAGGGGGTTTCATGCTATTTAAAAAAATTCCTTACAGTAACTTAAATTGATTAGAAATGTATTGAAAATTAGGATTTGATACGTTCTTTATATTTTTCCATGTTACCTAAAACAATGTAAGAGCTGCTTTACACCATTAGAAATTCATTTATATTACGACATTATAAACATAACTAGTGTTTAATACAAGGACCCTATTTCAAATGGAGGGAATTAATTGAGACCAGCTGGAGTAAGTTACTATCCTTAAAGGTCATTATCTGTTTTTATCATTTGTCTAAAGTGATGAACCATTTTCATTTTTTTTCTCATTTCTTTTAAGAGTTTGTGTTAACCTCCTCAATAGAATATGAGGATTTGAGCAATATGATTCACTTTTCCTTTACAAAATGTTCTGTTTGTCTCTCACCTAATAGGTGAAATATTATAGACACTTGGCACCTGATCACTTGCTTCAGATATGTCATCGACTAGGACCACTTCTAGAGCAAGAAATTCCTCAAAGTGTCCCTGGCGTGCAAACACTGCTAGGAGCTGGAAGACAGTCTTTGCTTCGCACAAACAAAAGTATGAAAATCTTATAGGAGCGTAAAGACTTTTCATGTTCTTACACTATTGTGTGGTTGTTCTTCCCTTTTTTTACATTTGCGTCTAATTTTTTCTGAAATAGGTTGCAAACATGTTGTGTGGAAAGGATCTGCTTTGGCTGCATTACACTGTGGAAGGCCTCCAGAGTCGCCAATAAACTATGGTAGCCCACCCAGTATAGGTAAGTCAGTATCATTATGACACTGATGATGTTTGTGTGTGCGGTTTCATGCCTGCCTTTCTTTTTTATTTGTATAACATAATTTTAATAGCATTGAGGTTGTATTTACTTTTGTGCATTGTGCACATTGTGTTTAGCATTACTTCTTTTAGGATGGTTGGTTACTCTGTTTACTAGTTTGAAACATGGTGGGATGTACACTGCATGTCCCAAGGTATACATCCTGTTTTAAAGCTTAATGTTCTTAACTTTTACCTTTTGAGGCATGAGCTTTCTAATGCTTCGTTTAAAAAAAAAATGCGAGACTGTGCAAGTAGCATTTGTTTGGCTAATAACAGTGTTTTCCAAGAAATGGTAAAGCTGTTAATGACCAGTTTGTTCTGTTATGACTGATTGAATTTGGGGTGTGGGGGGTGTTCTGCCTCCACTACTGAAAAATCCAATAGCAGTTTTATAGAGTTATCTGCAAAGAGACTGGGTAATTTGCATCCTTCTAACAGGGAATATTGTTTTCCTATTTATACTGTTTGGTTCTATTTGACTATTAGTTTTTTCTTAGTATAGCATGGAGCATGTCTGTGTTGCCTGGCCTGCAAAATGGCAGAGAATGGGAGTCAGGAGAAGTGAGTGTGGTTTTTTTTGGTTGTGCCATTGCTACCTTGAACCTTTCACTCAGATCTTTGTCACTGAGAAATGTTTCATTAGCCTTTAGCTTTGTTCTAGCCTTTTAATTTTGAAGAAATTCAAGATTATATGTCTGTGTGTGATTTATATAATTCCCTCCAATCTGATATGTGCATGTGTATGTATGAGCTTGGAAGGAATTATATTTCATAAACAGAGATATGTAATATCTTGACCCTCTTCAATCTCGTGTGTGTATGTATGTGTGAGATCTGGGAGGAATTAATAGAGTGAGTTTAAATCTCCTTCTGTTCCAGAAAGGACAGTAAAAGTGAGCAGAAGGTTTCATTTTCCACAAGGACACAGTAACTTAGTGAAAATAGCCAGGTTAGGAATGAATAGAACATACCAGCATGTCTTTGCTTAAAACCGAGTTGAAATATTCTTGTTCTGAAGTTCTTTAGTGGCTTGTTCTTGCTCTGTTTTTAAGTTCTCCAGTAAAACCGGCAATGTCAACATAAGAGCCTTGTTTCATCATTGACCTTCTTCCCCCCCTCAACATTACATTAATACAGATGTAATTGGGAAGACTTTTATGTTTAATATTAATATTTTAAAGCAAACTAAAATGAAATACATGAAAATAAAATTACATCTTGTTGCATTTGGTAAATCTCCAGTTGGCAACTAAATTTTCTTGTATTTCAAGCCCTTAGGTTATGAGTTAGTTATGTTTTCCCTGTTACTTCAGTATTGCCAGTTTGATAGACTTGGGTCTGTCTGTCAGTATTGTAGAGAAGAATAGTACTAAAAGGGAAAGAAGAGCATCTCTTCTTCTGCTCTTGAATCTCCAGTTCGCAACTGTTCTCTTGTGTTTAAGATTTAAGAACGCTTGTGGTGCATGGGCCAAGTCCCGGAGGACTGGAAAAGGGCCAATGTGGTCCCCATTTTCAAGAAGGGGAGGAAGGAGTACCCGGGCAACTATAGGCCAGTCAGTCTCACCTCCATCCTTGGCAAAGTCTTTGAAAAAATTATCAAGGCTCACATTTGTGAGAGCCCGGCAGGACAAATTATGCTGAGGGGAAACCAGCAC